CAGACTAGGCTAGGGGCCTGGAAGTTGGAGGCCAAGGCCAGAGACGGTCTGGGGGGTACTGGGAGGGGGGGACCCAGAGTACTGGGAATCCAGGGACAGGGCTGCTTGGAAGATAGGGGCCAGGCCTGGGAGTGGAGAGACCTTGAACAAGCTAGAAAGGGCCCTGGGCCCAGGAAAAGGTGGAAACCGGCTTCCTGTGAGGGGGTGCCCACAGGATCTGGGAGGATCCAGAGGGGCGGAGGGCTGAGAATGAGAAGAGGGGGGTTCCTGGGGAGCCCGGCACCCACATCCAGATGGGGAAGGCCGGAGCCAGAGGCAGGACTGGGCCAGGCCTTCCTGGGAGAGGGCCAGGGCCGGGCCTTGGGGTCAGGAGCCCTGCAAACCCGGGAGGGGGCGAGTTATCGGATGCGGGCGGCCAGGAGGGGAAGGGGCTTAAGAACATGCCGGAGAAGGGAGGGGCTCCTGGAAGGCAGAGGAGGGGGCTTCCTGGAGGGAAGAGACCCGAGCGGAAGCGGTCTGCAGAGGGACAAGAGGGGGGTCCCGAGAGAGGGGCGCCCCCAGGGGTCGGGCTGAGCTGAAGTGGGGGAGGGTCGAGAGGCCTGGAAGTCCGGGCGGGGGTCGGGAGGTGGCAAGCTGGGCCGGGCCCGGGGAATGCAGGTAGGGGCTCGCGCGGCGAGGGGCACACCAGGACGAGGGGTTCGGCGGCTGAACCCGACCGGCGCTCCCCAAGGGGCCGGGCCCCACTCACCGTGTCCGAGTTCCGATCGTTGCCCGGGGCCAGCGCCGTCCGCGAAGACATTTTCTCCGGATCCCGGGGGACTGGGCGGCCGGGTGGGGGGGGCGGGGGTCCCGGGGTCCCCTCTCTTCCCCTCCCCCCCCGCTGGCCTGGGGACGCGAGCTCAAAAGCTGGGCGCCGTGGACACCCGGGTTCGCGCCGCGGGAGAGGGGGGCAGGGCGGGGAAGGGAAGGGGACGCCGAGGGTCCTAGTGGCCCCGTGCAGTTGAGGTCACACAGCTAGGGAGGGACAGAAACTAGATTTGAAGTGCATCTTACTCACATCCTCTCCTTGGCTCCCTAAAACATCGGGCTAATAAGGACCTCATCTACATTTAATTCCCACGGTAGCCCAATTCTACTTGGATTCTTCTGGACAAATCTGAGATGTCCTGACCTGTCCCGGGGAGAGAGTCAGGGACTTAACCTGAGATCATGAAGCAAAGCGAGGGCCAAGTCTGACTCCGCCCCCACCTCCCACAATGCTGGTGCCGGAGGGCTGGGCCCCGCACCCTGCCCATCCCCCCACTCACCTCCCGGCCAGTGAGGATGTGCCGGGCCAGCTTGACTTTGGCAAAGTTGCCTTTCCCAATGGTTCTCAGCAGGCGGTAGTTGCCCACGTGGGGCTGCTCCTCGGGACAGGAGGCGATGGAGTTTCGGCAGCGGGCACCCAGGGAGCGGCTGGACCAGGACGGTCCCTTGTCCGAGGAGCGGCCACTGCCCAAGGTGCCATGCTGGACGGGGGGACGGAGCGTGAGCGGTGGGCAGTGCCCATCCGATCCCGCCTTCGGTGGCTCCCGTGGGCTGGGGCGGTTGGCTCCAGCCACGGCCACTGGCCCCTTGGTGGTCCTTCTCGAACACGGGCCAGAGAGAAGCACGCTGCCTTTGGGGGTCCCCATCTCTTGCTATAAGAAGACGCCTCCAAGAACAAAAACGCTGGGGTCCCCCAACTCTGCAGCATCTGGGGCCCCAGACATCAGGCTCCCCTCCCCACCCCCCAAATCCCGACATTCAGGCTACCCCCAACTTCCTTTTCCAAGTGCTGGGACCACGGTATTTTACTCTAAACACTGTGGTCCTCAATCCCAATCTGTGTCCTCAATCTGGGTTCAACTCCACCCCAGGTCTCTCTCGCTGCTCTCGACTTCCCGGGTCACCCATCACCTCCCCATCCGCCAGCCCCCCGCCCCCTGATTCTACTCTGAACCCCAAGAGCAGCATTTTATTCCCAGCTTACTGCCCCTAACATTTTCTCCCAATTCTTCTTGCCCCAAATTCGACTCCAAACACTGTAACCAACACTCTTTCATTCTGCCCTGACCTTCCAGCCCCACACGGTTACCTTCCTCCCGTGGAAACACTGTTGCCTCCCCCTCGTGGCCCCCCCACCGCCCTGGGAACCGCTGTCTCCCACACCCGCGCTCCCATCTGTCCCCGACGTTCTGTTCCTGCTGTCCTGTCCCTCCTGGGCCTCTCCCCCGCAGGTCACTGCCTGCTCCTGATTGTGAGCCCCAGGGACTGTGCCTCCCTTTCAGCGCTGGGGCCCAGGGTGCAGGCTGCGGAGGGAGCCAGAGGCCCCAGCAGAGGCAGCTCTGCTCAGACCCTGCGCTGCCCTCCCTGCTTCCCGGGGCGGGGGTGGGAAGCGCGGGGACAAAGGTTGCTGAGGAGGAGAAAGGCCAGGTAGGCAACAGGGAATCCGCATGGCTACTGTCCGATTCAGTCATCATCCCCATCTTAAGGTGGGGACACTGAGGCCCGGAGCAGGACAGAGTTTAGCCCAGAGTTGCTGACCCTCACCATCACCTTATCACGCTCACTCACACTCCTACATGTTTTTATTACGCTGCTTTTACTACGGGGCCAAGGCTCGGGCTAGTAAGCACCTCATCTCCATTTAATTCCCACGGGAGCCCATTGAGGGCGGAACCTACATCCTCACACTCCAGAGGAGAAACTGAGGCTTGGAGAGAGAAGGCACCACGTCAAGGTCACACAGTTCCCCCACAAGGCGCAGAAGGACCACCGCCGCCGCTGCGGCCCTAACCACATGCCCGCTGCCCACTGTGCCCTCACCCGGGGCCTCCTGCCTGGGTCCAGTTACCATCCACACTCTCCAGACAGGGACCCCCAAGGCTGAGGCAGGGTGAGCACCTTGGCCAAGGTCAGGGATTTGATCCCGGGCCTGGTGGCTCCTGAGTACTGAGCTCTTACCCACATCCCACTGAGCGGCTCACAACCCCAGGTCTCCGCCCAGGGGAAGGAGGGCAGGCAGGGAGGTGGAGATCCTGGCTGATAAGGCCCTGATCCCCACCGAGATAAGGTCTTGGAGAAGAATTCCCATCAGGTGGCACCAGGGGAGCCAAACTGGGGGTGGGCTGGCACCCCACTGAAAGCAGCATGCTTGAGGGACCCCTGCAAGGGGCGGCTGGGGCAGTGGGTGACAGAGCCCCCAGGGGCCGGGGGCGGGAGCTAAAATTGGCCCACACCACCAGCTGGCCCGGCTCCCTCCCTCCCGCCCCGCTGGAGCCCCAACACGGGGCCTGTTGCTAGGGAACCTCCAGAGAGTTCGGCGGTGGGGGGGGGCTGGAACTTGGGGTGGGGGAGCATGACCCCACATGGCTGTTGTCATGGTAACCGGGTGGCAGGGGAAGAGCCTGAGACCTCCAGTTCCAGAGGGAGAGGTGAGCCCCAGGCAGGACAGACAAGCAGGACTTACACACTAGTTGGGAGGACAGGAGACAAGAGGAGAGAAGGGGACTGGCCCTCCTCAAATGCCCACCAGGCACAAGTCTGGACCACGAAAGAGGAGGAAGTGCTCGGATGAGCCCCATTTTACAGATGAGGACACCGAGGCTCACGGCGGTGACGTCACTTGCCTGAGGTCACACAGCTAGGGAGGGACAGAAACTAGATTTGAAGTGCATCTTACTCACATCCTCTCCTTGGCTCCCTAAAACATCCCTAACAGGGAGGTGCTATCATCAACCCTATTTCGAGATAAACTGAGGCTCGGAGCAGGGAGAGGATCCGTGAGCTCCTGCAACCACCCGATGACAGCCCCCAGGTGGAGAACGCATGGCCCATCTGACTCATATTGTGACTATTCATGATAGCAGCGGACAAGTGCGGAGTGCGTCCTATGTACCAGGCTTCCCCCGTGTCATCTCGAGTCATCCTCTGAGGGACTCAAGTGATCATCCCCACTTTCCAGAGCAGGAAACTGAGGCACAGAAAGGAAGAACGAGTAGTCTGAGGGCACAGCGCCAATCGGCTGGCAGAGAGAGCCAGCATTTGAACCCGGGCCCGTGGGCTCCCTGGCACTTCCTGAGGGACTTGGGGGAGGGATGGGGATCTCACCAGAGACTCCAAATCAAATCAAGAGTCTGGCCTATCGTAGGTGGGCTGCAGCGGCGGCAGCAGCGGGGGGGGGGGTGCTCTCTATGAGGGAGGGTCTTGCAGGATGAAGGGACGGAGATCAGTCTCTCTGGTGGGGGATCTGGAGTGAGGGTGGCTGGGTGGGGGTGCAGGGACCTAGCAGAGGCCTAGGGGAAAAGGGACAAAGACCCCAGCTGGGGGTGGTGGGAGGCCCTTTGGAAGGGCTGAGAGTAATCAGAAACCTGGGAGATGGGAAGGGGGGGTCTCCCAGGACTGTTCTGGGCTGTGGTATAGGGACAGGGGGCCTGGGAATAATGGGAAGGATTAAAGCCATGGGGCAGTGGAACTCAGAAGAGCCAAGGAAACTCCTAGAAGTTAAAGGAGGGGGTTTCTAGGAGTTTCTAGTCTTTGGAAGCAGAGAAAGGTCCAGGAGCATGCAAGTCCTGGAGAAGGGGCTTGCTGGGCAAGGAGCAACCCAGAAGAAAGCCTGAGCCTTGTGGATGTCAAAAGGGCCTAGAAACTTGGGGAGGAGGTTTCCAGCAGACAGACCCCAAGAGAAGAAGGCTTACAGCCAGGGCAAGACCCCAGGCTTCGAGTCCGGGAGTCTTCTGGAAGGAGGATCTGGGGCCTAGCCTTGTGAGTGGGGAGAGGCCTCCGAAGCTGAGGAGGGGGTTTCCCTGGGAGGCCAGACCCCCAGGAAGGAAGAGGGAGGCCCTGGGGCAGAAGGGATGGGGACCTGGAGATTAGGGGAAGAGGTGGTGTCCTGGGAGGAAGCTCCTGGCCTAGGAGGGGATCAAGGGGTTGGGGGCTTGGGGAAGGGGCTTGCCTGAAGCTGAGAAGTTGATACAGGGAGGATGAGGCCTGGAGTCAGACTAGTTCAGGGCCTAGAAAT